CGGTGTGTCGCGGGCGACAGGCGACGTTCACCTCGAACGAGGCAGCAGCACCGTTCGTGGACCAGCCGTAAACATTAAGGGGTAAGCCTAGATATTCTAGGCCTGATTGGTGCTGATATGCGACAAAGGATTCCAAGGTTTGCGCTCTTCTGTTTCAGTCAGTAGCACTGATCGCCCTCGTCAAAGGGTGAAACTCACGGGCCTGCTCTTTTGTGAAATTCTGGAGACAAGCAAGAAAGGTATCCACAATTTTATAGGCTCAGTTGAACCTCTTTTCGCCGTTGTAGCTCGTTAAAAAGCTGTTAGTCATAATTCTTTGACAAGTGAGGCACCTGTGTTATTTCTTCGAACACCTCCGGCCGTCTCATGTACCGCTGATGGGATGCCGAAAGAGTGAGGAAACCGTCAGCATTGCGGTAATACGAAATTTGAGGCGTGTTTAGCTATATAGAGTTTCAGGTGGTCATTTAATGCAATTTGGCGGGCGATCCCGTACTTTGCATGCCATAGAAGGAGCAAGTGGATCAAATGGCATAGAGGTAGTAGATGAACACTCTAGTGATTATTGCTGCGATATAACGACTATTCAGTTCGCCATGCTGTCTGTTGCTGACGTGCTATGAGGTTCCGAATGATGCTCGCTGCTGCTTCGCTCACGTCAAGCCGCGTCAGGTGTATCAGCGGTGTTACTTAAGGTCCATAATAATGAAATTTCTGGCGAGCAGTTTGTATATATACAATGAGTAGGAGGTCTCTCTGCGCCTGGGTATTATGTTCGCACATTTCGACGAAAGGAAGCAAGACGAAATGTTTGGCTAATTCGTTCGGGATGGCTACGAATCACGCCGCTCCGCGTTTGCAAGGTATGCATTAACTTACGAATGCCAACTAGAGGTTAATGAAATGAAGTGGACATTTAGGGCAACTGCGAAGCTCCACCACAGGCGGTAACCATGGACAACGTGCCGCGGGAGTACGCCTTAATATAAGGAGATATACCATTCCTGCACATGAGCCCGGACCTCCATATTTCCACATTACTCGCCAGATATTATGGCGGTGAGCTTTCCCGTCTAACGTGCTTCTTTCCAGCCATTTGATTCCAAAATCATATTTCAGAGAGGCCTGTCGTGCGGAGCTTCCTGCCTTGGTAGCTGACGGAGTCCACGAACTCCAGCCGCAAATTACGGACAAACATGGACAGCTTTACACCATCCATGGAGTGGCGCCAGGCCTCAAGGAATTCACCCTGGCTTTCGCGATTCCATTAAGGTGGCTCCGCTTGCATGATTCAGGAACGGTTGAGCTGTCTCCTTCTCTTGTTCCCTTGCTGCGGTTCCACGAAAT